AAGTGAACTTTTCAAAATGAGGAGAACAAACTCTTTATCCAGACTAACAGAAACACAGTTACAGTTGCTAAATGCAAGGAGGACAGCTGGTAAAACATCTCTGATTGTATAAATGTGTAAGTTGTGGAACCCCTCTGTGACATTTGGGAAAAAATATATTTTACGTGACATAATAACGTGTGGGAACGAGATAAATAACTTGGGGCCACAAGATAAGAATCTGTTCTTTACTAACAAGACCAGTGGAAGTGAAGTGAAGAAGCCTCTTGCATGAGAGATGAATCCTTTCACATGTTGTAGCCTCTGTAATGAGCTTTAGTTTGACACCGTCTGCACTGACTCTGAGGACACACTGTGGTGGAAACGTCTGCAATTAATTCAATTCAATTAAATTTTATTTATATAGCGCCAATTCATAATTTACATTATCTCAAGGCACTTTACATTTAAAGGTCAGGACCTTAAAACAATATTAACGTGTCAATAAAATTACTAGTCAATAAAAACGTATGGACAGCCATGGCACACGGAACGTGACTGAGAGGACACAGTATATTGGGATGCACCTGGCACAACTGGAAACAGAGAGAGATTGAGATGTAGTGGGTGTGTTAGCGGCGGAGATCGACTTAATCGACCAGATGTTGTTTTTTACTTCCCTTATCCTTCCCTTTAAGGAGAGAGTGCACTGACTGACTGTCAGAGAGAGACAGGGGAGGCTATCAAAAGCTAAATCTGTAAACTATCTATCGCTTATTCCAAAAAGGTATTTCATTTCATAGGATAAACCTACTTAAAAGTATAAAATTATGTCTGATTATCTCGCCGCTAACACACCCAGTAAATCAATATAAGTAAGTGACACAAGTAAAGAAACGTAGATTGATGCAGACAGTCTGTGGTACTGTGAGCACATTGCTCCTACGTTGGTTGTGTTTGGGTAAAAAACAAGAAGATTGGTGATTTTCATTCATTCTCTGCATGCATATGGCTGGAGAGACAGTTGGTGTGTGTGTGGGGGGGGGGGCAGTAATGTCATTAGCTGTGACATCATGTGTGTCTAAGTGTAAAGAGACTGTGACCAGATGTGATCTGTGATGTTAAAAAGCATCAAGCTGAAAAGATCACTCAGGAAAGGATAAAGGTCACAGCTCATAAACACACAAACACACACAAGATTTAGGAGGGTTCACACAAACAGCACACTCTTGCACACAGCCACAGCTGTTGTCTTGTGTGTTATTTGTTTCATTGTCGCGGTTTGTGGAATATTTTTCACATGTTCTAACAAACTCATGTTTTTGTTATCACACAGTATTAATGCACCATTCACTGCAGTCGTCAGGGGCAATTGGGGGTTTAGTATCTTGCCCAAAGACACTTCAGAACACAGACTGGAGCTGTTTGAGGTTTTTACCACCCAAGCTTTAAAAAGTCGCAATCCTCTCCCAGTTAGCAAAATTTAATTGGGTATGTTAACAAAACATTACTTGAAAGTCCTTTCAGTCCTGGACGTACATTCTGAAACTCAATGGGTCAAAACTCAGACACCGTTGTTAAACGGATGTGTGTTAGCTTGTACACATTATCAGGGTTGTTATCATCAAACATGCCAACCAATTTACCAGACTTGGGCCATGCATGGTTAGGAAGCTCTCTTTCAACCTGTATGAGTACTTTAACTCTTCACTCAAGTAAGGATTGTTAAACAGAAAACACCAGATAAAAAGTGCTTTTTATCTGGTGTGTGTTTTTTGGTTCAAAGAGATAAGTAAAAGACTGGCGGCTGACTGAACCTCTGTGGACACCATATCATTGTCTTTAACTAGTCACCCTGGACGAATAGAAAATAATAACAAGTAGAACCTTTAGGATTCAGGACTTTAAAGATCATCCATTCTATCAGATGTATTAAGGGGGAAAAAATCAGTGTCCATGTTGATTCCTCACTTGGGGCAGCATAGCTGTAACCACAACACTGCATGGAGTCATGTTTCTGGTCATCAGGTGAATTTATGTTCATTATTCATTCTCCTTCTAACTCAGACTCGAACTGCTGCACTGTCCATCAGCACCCTGCTGATTTAGTCTACTGCTATCTGATGCTGAGTGGGTAGTGTTGAGGAATTTTGGTATATCCACTTTATATCATATTATGTGCATATAATGTATATTACATTATATCTGTACACCATTAAGAGACGAGTGCCTGGCTAACTCCAAAGATACTCTCTTCTCTCTCTCTGAGCAGTACACAAATGTCAGGTTATAGGTAAAGGACCAACCAACAGTGCATTGTAGTGTCTACACCCAGCGACTTTCATATCTAACTTAGATGCCGCAGACAGAGAGGCACCAACTTCATCTTTCACCATCTTCAGCTGTTTTGCGTATTACACCAGTATCCAATAGGATGCAAACACCTCATGTAACATAGAGAGTGACAGCAATTCTAGCCATTCATGGATGTGCTGTTAGAAAGGGTGATGCAAGTAGAGGGAGATATATGGGGATGCTGTGGGAGACATCATCAGACTTGAGGGTGACAATTGCTCATGTTGCTCTGTTAGTGTTTGTATATTGTTGCACCTTCTGGTCTCCTTGATGCATCAAGTCTACATTCATATCTGCTGCATAAGATAAAAAAGCTGCCTGAGTTCTCCTTTCACCAGCTTCCAGAAAACTTCCATAGTAGTATGCAGTGGGTTTGTCACAGCTGCATGTTGCAGTATGACTAACCCAGAACAATTCACTTACATATGTTAGAATGCTGTGCATAGCTGAGGGGAACTGCATAGCTGGTGATTGTGGTAATGACTTATTCTTCATATAATTCATGAACACACATTAAACAAAGAGGATCCTGTACACATCCGTTGTGGGTTATTGTGTGCGTGTGTGTACGTGTATTAATGATCCCCTTTTTAAAGTTTAATGTCTCCATTCCACTGTTGTCAGGGAGATTTACCATTGAGCCCTCTGGGACATGTCTGCCCTAGACGCTCCCACTCGGACACACACACACACACACACACACACACGCTGCAGCTGTGCTTGATGTGAGTTTGTTTTGAATATGTGATTTATTGGTGTTGAATACAATTCTGGCCATAATCGAAGCAATGATTTGATTTTGAGTTTGTTCCTCCATGAGGTTTTTTCAAAGGAAATACACAAGTGTACAAATATTCAGAGTTTAATTTCTCATCGGAGTTCTTCACCACATGAAAGAGACAATCATGTCATAGAATAACTTATTACAGCCTTTGAGTGTATATGGATGATTTGCATTGCCAACTGTGTACCTGAGCCCTCTCTTTCCACACATGTAGGTCAGGGGTGATGAACCTCATTCCTGTCAAGCACCATTTAATTTTTTAACACATCCTTCGCAGTCCATACTAAATTATTGAACACATGCTACATTTTGTGCTTGTTATTGGGTCTCTGGCCTCGTTTTTTCTTGTTGTGATGTTTTTTCCCTCTATGAACTTACACACTAATACAATAGAGTTCAACTAGGAGAACAAAGCTTAACAAAGTCAAATTAATTTATTACCTCCATATGCCTTAATGACAAATCAAAAGAATGGACAGATATGGATGTAAACTGCAACTTGACTGGTCGGCCTGAATGCACACAGTTCAGAGGCATTGAAGTATTCATGTGACGCAGAGGCTGCACTATCTGTTGCTAGGTGCAGTTAAATGACATTGTTTCTCCCAAAATCAAAGAAATATGCAAGCTGGCTGTTTCTGTGGAATCACTTTAAGTGTGTGAAAGGGTCTTAGTGATGAAGGCAGCATGCTAAAATGTCCTTGGGCACTGGAATCTAAATTGATGTGCTGGCTGAGTGTGAATGATAAAAAGTGTTATGTATCATAGTGTGTGTTTGAATGGGTGAATATGACTTGCACTGTAAAGTGGTTTGAATTAAAAGCAGTCCATTTACCTTTTACATGGGGTATTATCACTTATTCCATATTCTAAACCTATGGAGTGTTTAAGCATCTCTCAGCTTGTTGGTTTGATTTTACAGCTCACAACTTTACTGGTTTTGTTTACAGCATTATGTGTGCAAACATTAGGCAGAGACAAACAGCCGTTGGTGAATGTAACAGTATCGAACTTTTGCCTCCTTTTCACTTCCCATCTGTGCGAGCAAGGAAGGGAATAAAACGTTCGCTTCCACTGGCAAAGCAAATCTCCAGTTTGGCTTCATGAGGAGTTTAACTTTGGTGAACTTTGACCCACAATATTCACCTGCATTCGCTGACTGTGCCCTTAAACAGCTTATAATAACCTGTAAGTCACCTGTAATTTAGTCGTTTTTCAAATTACAAACTATATACTGCCCTTAAGGGACTTAACATCATGTGCAGCAAACAACACACTTTATTCTTAGTGCTGTGATTTACATAAGTAATATTATGCCCCCCCCAAAAGCTTTGTATGCAAAAACAGTTGACCTTTTTTTAAAAGCTACATCAGCAATATGGACAGTAATTCAGAGAGCCATTCTAAGAGTGCAGCATGTCTATCTAAAAGGCTACATCGGTTTCTGAGTGACATTTACATTAAACAGAGCTGTTTGAATGTTGGCATTATAAAAGTGGTACATGCAGCTTTAGCAAATGAGGACGAATGAGGATCGCCAATACAACTGTCTGCAACCCTGTATCCTGTATCTCCAGCAGCACTGCAACATAGCATGTTGAAAGTAAAGGATAAAGAGATCAGTGGGTTTGAAATGGAAATTTAATTAGGAGAAAGCTGGTAATAAACAGCTTGGCATGATGGGTAATCAGAGTTATCACTGGCTAAACCTCATACCTCATACCTTTTTCCTGGATGCAGTACTTTCTAATAGAAGGGTGGGCGGGCAGACACACACACACACATATATTCACATATATTCATATATATGAATAATGGATGATACTGTTGTGCTTCTTGGTTCTCAATAACAGAAATATGTATATCATTGTCCGCTCCCTAGAAATACCGACCAGGAAGATGAGGGAAGACCCGTCTGATGAAGAATATCTAAAAGGAGGATGCATTGAAGGATAAACACAAAAGGAGTGAAAAAGGAGGAGACTCAATAGTGTAACCGAGGACAACAAATGGAAACAGAAGGATCAGTAAGAGGAGGGAGGGAAATTTGAGGAGCTTTATGAAAGAGGAGAAATAGAAACAGAAAAACTTCTAAGGAGGGAAACCATATCAAGTAGACAGATTGAAAGTGAGAGGAAGGAAGTCATAAAGGACAAAGAAGCTGGAAGCTTCGGAAGGGTAGAAAGGAAAAGCAAGAGTCTGGTTGAGGGAGGAAAGAAACATCTGGATGGTCTCCACAGCGACATCCAGCTGGTTACCCACCCTCCGAAGATGGCTTCCAACTTCAACGACATTGTCAAGCAAGGCTACGTGCGCATGCGCAGCCGCAAACTGGGGGTGAGTGTGCGTTCATGTAATGATTGTGTTGTCTCTCCATTGATGTTTTATCACATGCATCACAAAAAACAGTCCTGACTTGGCACTGGGAGTTTTCTTAAATAAGCTTCCACAAGCTGGGTGAGATGACTGGTGTGACACTGCAACTACATACATTGATCCTATGATCATCTATATGTGTATATTTTTCATGCGACCAAAGCCTCTAACAAACTTCATCAAAATTGTAACATGCTCAATATTTTGCAAAAGTGATTTCGATCAGACTCCTGTTTATCTCTGTGATGTCAGTGGGGGCAGTAAAATTCACCAAAATAATTTGAAAAATGATTTTGACCAAAGAGATGTGACTGCATCGACAGTCCAGTCTGAACTGCCAATCAGCCTTTTACAGTTGCTTAAAAAATCTCTCCAAAATAAAATTTGTGCAAGAGCTTATTCCATTCAAGTAAAAACAATATATCAATCTACATTAAGCTGTCCAACAACAAAATAAATGAAATCTCAAGTAGTGCCATTATCAAGTCCGAATTTTGATTTGTCTGATACTTGTAGTGAGTTCAGAGGTAATGAGAAAATGCTAGTAATTGTATTAACAATCTGGGTCATAACAGATTACTTGTTTATGACACTTGTTATAAATGGGAAACTTTAATTGTCATTTTCTCACCATGGGGTCCCTGTGTGAAACATGAAAGAAAGAAAAAACTGGAAAGAGTGTCTTCCCAGCTCTGGTTTGATGCACCATGGTGCAATAGCTGGATCCTGAAACAGTACTGGGTGTGCTGGATCCTTTTGCTGTGTATAAAAGAAGCAGGACTTTGATATAGAGATGGTTGGACGGCAGGGTCAGTGCTGATTATTTCCCAGCCGAGGTCTTGTGAGGGCAGGGCTTTGCTTTCTGAAGTTGAGGGATGGAGGATCTGCCTGCTTTTGTCCATTATTGTCTTGTTGTTCCTCAGTAAGCATTAACTAAATAACATGGACAAAAGCAAATTTGCTCTTTAAAGCTTTTCTCTGTGTGTGTTTGATTGTCTCCCTCTGTCTTTGCACACTAACTGCTCAGCTCTTCTACCCTATTTAGTCCCCACTCTCACACACACTACCCCTGTCATTTAATTGCTTGGTGTCTTTTCTGTCTTCCTGTGTGGTTTTTGCCCAGAGCACTGAGTCTTCACCTCTCATTCTTCCTTCTCTGCCTCATTATCTGTGTCCTTCCTCTGCATTCTTTCTGTGTCATCTGTCTCTGCCTCTTTGCCTTTTTCCATTTGCTCCGGTAACCCATCTTCCTCCTGTGCCATATGTCGTGATTCGTAGCATGAAGCAGTAGTTTGGCTTCATTGGAATGCAGCTGCCATTGCTGATATGAAAATCTCCTGACTTGATTTACAGTAGTAGTAAATTTAAGAGAGCCTCTAAAAGATTGACAAAGGATTTTTTTAGAGTAATGACAAACAATATAATTCTGGGGTTTTGTTTTACTACTACAACTGAACTTTTTTTAATGTGTTATACCAATTATTTTGGGCTTGTCATTTCTTATCAAATGGGGTGCGGGAGTGGGGAAAATGTCAACTGCAACATCTCCCAATAAACCAGAGAGCCAAAGTGATAGCATCTGTAAATCTTTCCCTTTCAGCCAATTTTTCCACCTCCTGGTGGTCACATTGATAACAAGCCTCCCTAAGCAGCAGGATGCTCTTCGTTTTAGCTGCGTCCCCCACCTTATGGCATGAAGTCATAGAAGTGCAGGCACAAATGTGGACCTGGTGCCCTTAACCGTCTCATAAAGAATGCAAATGTTACATTTGTAAATGCAAACGTACCTTGCGTTAGTGAATTAAATTACAATTCTTTATTCGTCTTAAAATACAGAAATTTGCTGGGTTACAACAGCAAAGGGGGAGAACAGATGTGTGCGCAATTTCTAACATGTTCCAAAAGTTACCTAAAGAGACATATGTTCATTAAATAGGTCGACTAGAACTCTGACATTTCCATGAAGCAACTGATGTTAGCATGATGTTCATTTGTGTGAATGTGATGCTCTTGCACCATAAAACTGAGAATGAAAAGAAAAAGAAAATGCATGGAAATGAATACAAAGAATGTCACAAATAGACATTTGTACAGGAAGCATTTGAAAAGTAAACATTATTACATCTGTGAAGTTGAACTTCTATCTGTATGGAAATGAATTAATGTCGACTGTTATGCTGCATTATTATTAGAATTCAAGTTTGTTTTAGGGAGTATTCCACATTCACACATGCATGCTGACCTACAGGTATGCCCATGTTGACATGTTGAAAACAACACCATCAAGTGACTCAAAAAAAAATCTGCTGATGTGTAAAATAATGCTTTCAAACTTTGAAAAACATAATACTCAAACAAGCGGGTGGTCTTCATCTAATTGTGGAAATGTACCCCATTTGTAGTGGATTGAACAATATGAAAAAGTAATGCGTCGTGTGTGACCACTTCATGAGAATAAAAATGAAATACATACAGTGAACATGCATCCAGCTTAGTTTTTTAGTGCATGTGCAATCCATGTGCAACGTGCATTTCTGAGAACCCCTGTACACACACAAACATGTTTTCATGACTTCAGAGGACATTACATTTACTCCCATCAATTTCCTCTAACCTAACCCTAACTTTAACCTGAAATGAACCTAACTCGAACTTTAATACATGTCTTCAGTGTAAAATTGTCTTCCTTCAAAAAAAGGGCAAGTCCCCATAATATGGCTGTACAGCATAACATCTCTCAGTGATCAGCACTTTCTTTATTGTCCTGTGCAGACTGATGATGCTTCTGTCAACAAGCCATTGTTACACCCACACATGAAGGAAAATTATGGGACACACTGAAATGACTTTTGCTTGTGTTTACACCTCTACTTTGACAAGAGAACAACCCAGATGATCACTTAAAAACATTATCTTGGTAGCTGTTAGCGTTGACCTTGCCTCATGAGACAAGCAGACTCGCCAAAGTCATTGCCCAAAATAGCTGCTGGACTAATACAGAGCCACTGTTGCAGAAAGGAATCATATGCTGCCATTAGTGTGGAGGTGTTGGACAGTGCCTGCCCAAAGGTTAACGATGCCTGGAAATTGGGAATCAAGGAACACAGCATTCCAAGAGGCTCTTCAAAAGCACATCCATCGATCTGATGTGCTCTAAACTGATTGTCCTGCTGAGAAAAGATTAATCTAATCTGATAAGCTGAGGTCACATTTGTTGCGCAGCTTGTGTCATTGTGTGGAGATTGAACCCTGGTCTATATGACTTGCAGGCACAGTGCTGATGAGGAGCAAATTATTTTGTCTGTTTCAAAAACTACTGTCAAGATGCACCAGATGATGGTCCGTTTTCAGAAGTGAGTGACACTCTGCAGTTGTCAGTGGTCAGCAGGGAGGGCCCCCACTGATAAATGTAAAAGCAAGCAGTTGTCTTTGAGTGCCAGATGAGAAATTGCATTGGTTTGCATTACATGCACATATATTTTCATATATGTTTTAAAGCCATTGCTTTTATTGAAGTTGTTCTCGTAGCCATAAAAGTGCTCTCCTCTCTACTTTGCTTGTGCAATGCAGACACACCTCATGTTATGGTGTAAATCAAGCCATATTATAGATGTTGCAGCTTTGTAATGGTTACATATATAAAAATTTATTTTTGGGTCATTTTGTGTCATGTGACCTGACACATACTGCCTACACTGGGTCGTTTCAGTGGTGCTAATACTTGGCTATAACAGCTGGCATCAAATAGAATAAATAAAACTGTAGTTACACACTAACTCTTATTTAAGTGCAGAGCAAAATCTTGTGTTATATTTGTGTGACATAAAGCCTCATTTTAACTGGCAGACAGGGAGAGTTTTATTCCAGTATCAGTCACAGGTACATTTTCATCAGCAAGGTTTCAGCTGCAGGTGCTGTGGCTAACATAGGTCCCTCTGTCAGCATGTCCCCAGGCAAGATACCAAGTAGTGTACCATTAATTATTTATTATATTTTTTCACGTTTTATATGCCTTATGCTTTAATCTCCTATTGATAAGCACCTTGTGTTATAAAGTGAAAATACGGGGCTGATTGATGTTCCTTTGATCCTTGTCTTCCTCGCTGTCATCCATTTTTTTCGTCTTCCTTGTAGCTTCATTATTTGTCCCTGTTGCTGTCTGTTCTATTCTGTTTCTTCTTCCCTCCACACAGCCTGTATGTAAATAGCCTGTTGTCGTTTTTTCATTAAATCCATCTCTCAATGCAGTAATGCTTTGGATTTAAGATTGGTAGAGTAAACGATGTCTTTAAAATCAAGGTCAAACAACAATATAGTTATTGCTCAGTGTTGGTTGACTTGAACTGGGAATTAAGCTGCCTTCAAATGGTATTATGAGCTTGTGGTTACGATGTTGGACATAATACACACAGTATGCTTGGCATTCTGGTGGTTAAGTCATTAGAATGCCATCACTGGGTAACAGCAACATGGACACTGTGTCTAGAGGCCACAGAGGCTAATAATTTAGCTATCTCATAATGCTGGAAATCCAAAGACATAATGACATAATATCAAATATGAAAATAAGTTTTATGAGCAAACACAAACACCTGCTTAGTAGTGCTCCTTTCCAAAGTTCCAATCATGTGCCAGCTATACATTGAATACAATTCTGCAAATACAAGTCAGGAGTTCCATATAGTCACAATCTGGACTCAACAGCATAGACTGTAGCCTTGTGTAAACCCTGCTGGTGGTGGTATGATGGTGTCACTTTGGACCATAATATCATTAAATCATGGTTTAGCACAGCCTGTGTATAGTTGCTAATTGTGTGCTTTCCAAAAGTCATCTCAGACTGGTTTCGTGACCATGACAGTGAGTTCAGTGACCTCCTCAGTCAGTAGATGTGAATCCAGTAGAACCTGTGCGATGTGGTAGAACATGAATGTGCAGCTGAAAAATCACAGAGATGATGTGATACAGTCATGTCAACATGGAGCAGAATCTCAGTGGATGGTTTCCAACTTGTTTTATCAAGGCCTCAATGAAATTAGGCTTTTATGAAAGCAAACGGTGGAACTAATTTATGATCCAGGCCTTTCATAGAAGTCATGTCCAGAAAGTCCATGTGTCTCATCAAGAAAAGAAAAAAAACCTCTAAATTATAATTCATTATAAATCCAATGCAATTGAAGTAATGGTGATCGGTTCTCCAAAAATAATTAAACAACAGAAAAATAAACATAACATGTCTCCATACTCATGTGGTGTCATCCTAGTGTCCATAAGGCCTGACATTCATATCCGACTTGAAACTGCATCATTTACACCAATTCAGTTAAGCCTGAAAGGCTGCTGCCGGAAGTGGCGATGCTAATGCTAATGCCCACCCCGTGCGTGTCCTTTGGTGAGAGCTTGTGTGCAGACTGTGTGCGTTTCCAGTGTGTGCATGTGAACGTGGCTCGAAGGAGGATATCGGAGGGCATTTAGCATAAAACCATGGTGTGAATGACGCTGTTTCAAATTGAATATGAATGCCTGGGCTTCCAGACACTTGGATGACACCGCAGGAGCACTATGGAGGCATGTTAGTTTTTTTTTCTGTTGTTTTATTTCATTTGAAAAATGTATCACTAGTTACTTCAGTTGTTTTGGATTTGGCTGCAACACTTTTTACGACTGAAACTCCTAAAGTGTTTTGTGGACTTAAACACTTCACCCACCCCTCCAGCGACATAGTGGTGAGAAGATTATGAGTGAATCTTCATTTTTCGTTGAACTATCCCTTTAAGGTTATGTCCTTGTCTGGTTTAATACAGATACAAATTCAAAATGACTTCAGACGCATTTTGTTCATTTAGGATTTAATTAAAGCTAGCATCTTTAACCTTGACCTTAATTCTTTTGTTTCCTTGATCCAAACAGTAAACATATTATTCCTGAATATCATTGACTCTGGTCCCTTGCTAAACTCCTTATTTTTATTCATAATTATTATATAAACTTGTGCAGTGCCTGTTCAACCCCTGTCTGTTCACAATGGGCTGTTGCTTCTCTTATGTTAATGCTTCAGAGCTACTACAGGATTATTCCTTTCGAGTCCTCCTAAAACAATTAGTTCGTGTGCTGGATGTTGTGTGCAGAGCTTTTTTTAAACTTGGTAGTCATCTGATTTATCTGAAATGATTGTCGTTGAGCAACCAAAATCAGTTTTTTGCACCAATTTTAAGTCAATGTTTTTCATAAAGAATACTGAATTTGCTTCATCATTGTTTATGTGTGTGGCCATACGTTTGATATATGATTTATTTAACTGGTCACCTGTCAGATATTAAATAAAGATACCTGAACTCTCTCTACTTCTACATTCCTTTCATCTTATTGTAATATTGCACAAACGGTAAATTAATCATACATTTGTCAGGGAAAATATTTAATATATTTCCCATTATCTCTCAACATAACCTTACACAGCTGTGGCTCAGGCGTTTGATCAGAAGCTCGGTGGTTCGATCCTGGTCTTCCCCATTCCCCTTGCTGAATGACCCCAAATTGCCCCTTCTCATAGAGAAAAGTGCTGCACACATATGCACTGTTTGAATGTGTATGTGTGAATAGGTGAATGTAAAAACTGTAAAGTGTTTTGAATGGTCATCAAGACTAGAAAAACACTATATACATACAGACCATTTATTATTTTTCCAAAAGTGTACAAACACCCACATGTGACAGTGTCCAACATAAATTGATCCATCTATAAATGTATCGATGTTCAATGTATCCATACAAAAGAAAAAGTCTGACAGAGATGAGGGGAGCAGTAATGACAGTTGTTAGGATATTGCCAAAGATAGTAGTATATGTGAGTAGGCATATTGTATATCTAAGCTATCTAGTTCATAATCAATGATCAGCTGCCACCTTGATCACGATCCACAATGCGGCCGTAACCTCGAATCCTGAATCTGCATCAATAGGGCACAAGACTCGGTGATATGTAGTTAGGACAATACATGACTTGAGAGCCAGTGTCATTCATAATTAAACTAAACTAGAGATCTGAGCAGGAAACAGGACTGCCTGGATATTTGCCAAAAAAAGAAAACTGATTTCATGCACAGTGATCAGCTTATGGAAGCCTTAGTTTAGAAGCAGATCTTCGACACAATCATTCCCAAGTTGAAATGATGTTTAGGTTAAACCCGAACCACAAAAAAAACAGACTTACAAAAAATGAAAATGTTAAATAAATGTATTCAAACTGTAACAGTGTAATAGTGTATTTTAATTTACAAATTTAAAATTATATTTGCATATTAAGCAATAGAATTATCATCTGATATTCATAATTGAGACAATATCGATGTTGCAACTTGATCTCAACTGAACTTGTTCAGCGTTCATGTTAGGTCCAGGTTTAAATGTTGTTTCTATCTTTCCTTCCATGTTGAAATGTTTGCTGGGTTTCTTGCTTAGCTCATCCTTCCCATCATCCCTTTCCCTCCTCTTCATCTGTTCTTCCCTTACATCTCTTCAACACCCTGTTTGAAGAAATCTGCTCTCAGCAAACATACTAGCTGAGGAGTGCTTAGTGAAGTTAAAGACAGGAGACAGATGAGGGGGTGGGAGGGACGGGGAAGACAGAAAATGCTAATTGCTCTCTTCTCACAGCTTCAAAGATAACACTGAAATTATCTTATTAGGACAGGCATAGTGTAAGTGTAACCTTATCGTTCTGCTCTGCAGACTTCAATAAATGCTCAGGCATTTTGAATACTGTCTAGTTATTTCACACATTTGTGTCTTAATTCAACTAAAATTGCTTAAAGGTCCAGTGTGTAAGATTTAGGTGAAGGGATCTATTTAATGAAGAATAATTCTCATGATGTTTTCACTAGTTCATTTCATCTAAATTGTATGAATTGTAGTTTTCTTCACCCCAGAAAATGTCCTTTATATTTAAATACTTTATATTTACATCGAGGGGACCCTCTCTACGGAGGCCGCCATGTTTTTTACATTAGTCCAGACTGGACAAACTAAACACCTTTTGAGTTTTTATGACAATTAAAGGCTACCACAGGTTCTTTTTGGAAGGAGAGGGTGAGGTGAGGGGTGTTCAGCTGCAACATGCAATTTCAACACTATATCACTAAATTCTACATACTGTACCTTTAACAGTGTTTTACAGTGGTCCATACATTTCGAAATGTGTACTTTTCCAATGAAAAAAAACACGAACTTGAACTGGTGAAAAATAAAAAAAGAGTAATTTATTAATAATTGTTTCAGACAGCAGATCAAAGGTGTGTTTGTCTGTGTGTTTTAGATCTATCGGCGTTGCTGGCTGGTGTTTAAGAAGTCATCCAGTAAAGGACCCCGTCGCTTGGAGAAATACCCTGATGAAAAGTCTGCCTACATCAGAGCCTGTCCCAAGGTGAGCTGCTCAGTCTTCATCATTATCACCTCTTTCATCCAACCTTCTGTCTTTACTTTCACACTTCATCATTTAGCCTCTTTAAACGCAGCAGGGGATTTGTTTGTGGCTTCTTTTCTGTACGTTCACAGCACACAGCGCAGTGACAAAACCTGCTGTAAGATATTTCACACAAGGTTTTGATTTTAAAAAACTATTGTGTTCATTGGTAAACCAGTTTACTCTTAGTAACTCAGATTAAGTCAGAGCAAATGTGATGAAAATCGTCTTACTTGTATCATTTCAGATTTGACAGCTGGAGACTTGTTAGTCACAAGCGAGTCTATTGAAAGTTTATTGAAACCTTGAAAGTGCACGCTCTTAAATCACCCAATATTGACTGTAAATAAAATGAAGACTTTTACTTTCAAAATCCCTCCCTACATTACAGTAACTTTTTCAATGCTCTCCTCTCTCTGTAGCTGTAACAATTGCCTTTTCTGTTATTCTTGTTTTTTCTCTCCACCTGAGGAGACAGGAGGGTGCATGCTTAGTATAAATAATGTGGATACAAACACATTTAAATGCTGCTCCTACAGTATATTTGAAACTGAGGCCTCACTGGATGTTTGATTTAAGCTGAATCTGTATTTTGTAGAACCAATTTGATTCGATTGGAATGCTTCACAGTACCAACTTTAGTACCCAACCATACCTGCCACTTTAATCAAACTGATTTACTGATGAGGATATGATAATGTGTGTATTTTTAGTAAGTGTACAAGTCAACACTTCAACACTCTAAACATACTGTTGTGGCTAGAGAAGGCAAACAGCACAACACGTAACAACAGAGATGACTTGTAACTTTTGTGTTTCCTGAACCAGCTCTGACACATGAATCTGTGGAAACATTTTATTTTAACAACTAGACCTTATGTCATGTGACTGTGCGACCAGCCCAAGGATATAACACATAAGACATCAAATGTATTTCACTGAGATATCAATCATCACTGCAATGAAACAGGTACGTTAATCGGCCCTGAACTCTGCCTTCTTAACTGTTTTATCCTCAATCTGTTGCCTAGGTGACAGAAATTAGTAATGTCAAGAATATCACACGGTTGCCTCGGGATACCAAGCGACAGGCCGTGGCTATTGTGTTTACAGACGACACCTCACGTACCTTCACTTGTGAATCAGGTAATGAACACACACACACTCAGTTTCAGAGCACTTTCCCAGTTTTCCCAATTTGTCACAAAACAGTTAAAGCTTAATTTCACACGAATAAAGAACATAAGTTTGAATGCTGATACTTTCTGCTGGTGCAGAGGGAGAGTTGACTATTTACTGACTGAGTTTTATCTGACTGATGCAAGACCAGAGGCTAATAAGATTTTGATATTTGAAAGTTGGAAAAAGATCCATGATCATTAATTGTCTAAAAATGTTCTGAACACTACACAAAACATCATAGGTTTTGATAAGGTCCCTTTTTTGGTGAAATGTACTGGCAGGATATTTAAGCTACACTTGATAAATAAACTCTGGTAAACAAACTGTAAAAATAAAACTTTGTTGCAAGATATATCTTTAGCATATATGTACAGTTTTTCAAGTTGTATGACATACACCGATATGTATATATTTACAATGATGTGAAGCAATTCCTCACTGGGCTCCAGTACAGATCTGGGGTCAGGATATATAGACAATTGCATAGAGACTGATAGCAGGAAAACAGCTAAGATACAAAGTGAATTAGTCCAACTTATCAACTCCTAAAGCTTACTGTTGGATCTTGGTTGTGTAATCTATCCATTAACAGACTTCAGCATTTATTTATTGGCATATTATTTCTTTGCTGTATCTCTTGCTATGTGATGATGTCAGACCTGCATGTTGACTTTAGGAGCACAGTAAGCCAATCTACCCTCTATCTATCTCTGTCTGTGTGTGTGTGTGTGTGTGTGTGTACAGAGCTGGAGGCAGAAGATTGGTTCAAGACGCTGTCAATTGAGTGTCTTGGCATGCGGCTCAGTGACATCAGTATGGGAGAGCCTGACCTGCTGGCTGCTGGTGTGCAATGTGAACACACGGGTAATTCTCATTCTCAATCACACACAAACACACACAGACACACAACATATCCTATGAACCCCCATGAGCCACAGAAGTCTGAATGCTGAATTTGTTTCTTTTTAGACAATTTTTCGATGTACTGTTGAAATACTGAATTTCAGATGTTACTATTGAGTGAAGTAGTAGACTCTGACTTTTTGCTCTGAGTAGAGAGTCTGTGGTTCAACACCTGGTCACTCAGACTGTGTGTATATCATTCTTCTACTCAGTTTCACAGAATTTCCTGCCCTCCCAAACAGGGCATAAAGGCCCATATACAGTTCTAAAAAGGTTTAACTTGCATGCAAGCTAACACAATAGCAAATAAGACAGCAACTTCAGGACTTGCATATCCACATTGTGAATTCATAATAATTAGGCCCACATATTGAAAGTATTTGGTGTTTGCTCGGTGAATAATATGATTAGCACTTATACTTACAGTTGCCTATTTACACATCCATACGCTAACATGATCATTCATTTGGAGTTTGTTTCCACCTATCAAATCCAAGATATATATTTATGACAAGTAGCAATAAAAGGTAGTGCAACGAAGGCAGGAAAGTTGTTCTCTTTATACATTTCATTTACTTTAGATTTTTGAAGCAACTCAAGCATTAATGTTCTTTACATTGTTCCTGTCACTCTGTATCTCCTAAGAGCGTTTCAACGTGTTCCTTCTCCCCTGTCCCAACCTGGACATCTATGGGGAGTGCATGATGCAGATCACCCATGAGAACATTTACCTGTGGGACATTCACAACCCTCGCACAAAGCTAGTCACCTGGCCCCTCTGCTCCCTGCGGCGCTATGGACGCGACGCGACCCGCTTCACCTTCGAAGCCGGACGGTGAGACCTGGAATGGAGTGGCTGGCGGAAGAAGGGGGAAGATGTTTGCTCACTCAGTGTCCTCAGATAAATACAGGTTACATACTGTACACCATAGGTTACCACACATACAATCATTGTCAAGCTAGGGACAACATATCACCACATTTATCAGGCAACTAATTCTTAGTTCAAAGATAGCACACACACACAAACACACA